CTCTTCTTTACTATTCTCTTTGAAGAAAAAATCTAATTCCTTTTCCATAAATTGAATAAATTCCTTATCTTTTAATATTGATTGATTCAACATCCATCTTAGTTTCTTTTTTTGTCCTTTCCATATAACTTTTATTGGGTTATGCTCTGCCCTATTACTTGTTTCTATGTTCAATTCTTGTAAATTAGATTTCAGTTCAGCTGTCATCCATATCATATCCATTCTTGATCAAGCCTATTTGAATAAAATGAGTATTGATTTTCCTTAGGATATGTCTCTTGCCATACATCTTGGATGCCTAATTATTTAACCATTTTTTAAAAAGCCTTTGGAAGCGTTTTCCTTGCTTTTTTGTTCGCTTTCCTTGTTTTATAATCTAGTTCCGCATCTACAATTGCACTGAAATCTCCCGCTACACAAATATTTTCGTACTCTAATGGCTTGCTTTTGAACATCACCTTGGAGGTAACCCTTGAGTTTGTTCCTTTTGGGCAGTTCACTCCCTTCTATCCAAGACATAGCATATAAGCATTGTTTAAGCAGGGTCTGCAGTATTGTCTGGGACACTACACATCTTCACAATCTGTTTTCCTTGTTACTTTCTGGGAGGAGGCTTCATGTTATCCGAAGCAGAACATCCAGATTCAGTCACAGTTTTGTTCCATAAAGTATAAACCTTGTGAACTCTCAAGCTTCCTCTTTCCACAATGTATTCAGTGATTTAATATTTATATGCATTTATATGCATTTATATATAAGGGTGTAGATATATACATATGTATGTATATAGTATGTCTATGTGTGCTATATATGTGTACACTTGGGAGCAGGCAATAGAATTTCATTTTTAATGTGTGCCAATGTGCCCACAGTAAAAAATGACAATAAAGGTTATCTTATCTTTTTCCAAAGTCTGTTTCAGAATTTGACTCCCACCTTATTTTTTTCTCCACCATATCAAGTATTTTCATTACTAAGCTTATGATATATTTCTAACCATTTTAACTAGCTAAATATCTCTCATTACAAGGAAACAAAGGCACCCAACAATATGTGGACATTTACTGAAGGCAAGAAGACTGTAATACAAATAATACCCTGATCTTATAGTACATCAAGGATACAATGCTTTATGTACACCCCAAATTCACCAATACAGCGAAACTCACTTCCTGAAAACACATTGAGGATTGTATGGTGAGTCATTAGCTGAAAAAAGCAATATGAGATAAAGTCTTAATCCTAAAATAGAAATGTTGCCCACTAAAATATCTGTCCAACTGTTTTTCGCTTGTGCAAGAGAAGAACTAGTCAAGAAAACTTATATAGTGATACTTGTATTCTCTCTATCTTCTAAGAACTATAAGTATATAAGATCATCTTTGTTGTCCCTTTTTTCTGTGAACACACTAGTTAGATCGAAGATAAGATAGATGCAGATAGACAGATAACATATTTCCCCAAAAATAAGACTGGGTCTTATTTTTGGAGGAAGTCTTACCTGCTTACCTTAGGACCACACAGCCATGTCTCCCATGCACCAACACCTATCGCGACACCGTCCGAATTCTGCAGCCGCTTGCAGCCACATGCCATGCGGCTCATTGCGCTGGTGCCACAACTCGTGGCAGGATGCTGTAGCTTGTCGCGCTGGTGTCACCATTTGTAGCAGAAAGTTGTGTGGCACATCATGCCATTGCGTGGAGTGGCAACACCAGTGTGATGAGCTTCGTGGCATCCTGTCATAAGTGGTGGCTCCAGCATGATGTGCCACATGGAATCCAGCTGTAAGTAGTTAGAGAAGATGGGTAATGGCGCAACCAGGGTTGGGGTGTGGGAGTCCTGGTTGCGATGGTCCTAAGGTAAGTGAATGCAGGGCACGTGGGGCAGCTCCACTCCGTGCCCTACCTTGAATTTTACACCTGTGCCTCACCCCACCTCGTACAACCAGATGGTGGGCATGGCTTAACTGGGGCTTATTTTTTGGGTTGGGCTTATATTAGGTGCAGGGGTGAAAATTGGGCTTGGGCTTGTTTTGGGGGTAGGTCGTATTTTCAGAAAAACATGGTAGATGGATATAAACACATACTGGCACATATACATGAACATACATATGCTATATACAAACATATATAAACACACATACACACACCCTGTTTTCCCCAAAATAAGTCATATCCATAAAATAAGCCTAGAGGTAAGCCGGGTGGGACATGTAGGGCACCTCCATCTTCACTGCCTCATGGTGGTGGCACTGGCACACCACGTGGTTTCCTGCACCAATGCAAGCAAGCAGAAATGGGCCTCCTGTACCTTGGGGGGGGGGAATAAGACACCTCCTTGAAAATAAGCCCTAGTGCTTATTTTGGGGTCCCAAAAGAAAATAAGACCTGTTCTTACTTTCGAGGAAATACGTGTGTGTGTGTGTGTGTGTGTATACACACATGTATATATATATATATACACACACGCACATTAATCACAGTCCATTTAGAATACATGACAAAAAGAGTTTTAAGAGTTAACAAGGTTGATACTATATAGTACAAAGCTATTACATAATCTAGTTGTTCTGTTTTGGATACCACAAAGACTTCTCTGAGAAGGTAACAAAGAAAACCGGTCATAGAGAGGATGTATAGTGTCTCTAACAATACTGCGGACCCTGGTCATCTATCACTTTAAAAAGTCACTTATATTCTATGTCCTGTATTGTGAACCTCCAATAATACTATTTCCTGTCCAAAATAGTAATACTTCCAAACCACAATAATACAACAGGATGCATTCAATGATCCACCTGTAGAAAGTGGTAAGGGTAGGGGGAAGGAAGATGTGTTCTTCTCATACGACACAGAAAATGCAGGAGCTGCTGTAAGCGCTTCCACCAGTGTCTCCCTGTTGAGTGTCCAAACTAACCTGCTTGTCAGCTGCAGACCCAGAAACTTGATACTATTAACCATCTCCACAGCTGAATAGGTAATACAGAGGTGTATGGCTGTGCCTGCGTTTTCTGAAATGGATGATCTCTTTTGTTTTTTCTACATTTAAAATCAGGCTGTTTTTATTACACCAGTTCATCAAACCTTCTATCTCCTCCTGGTAATCACCCTCATTTATCATCCTGAATAAGGCCCACCACTGTTGTATTGTTCACATACTTCACAATATGGTTGGTAGCAAACCTTGCACAACAATCATATCTCAAGAGGGTGAATAACAGAGGAGTACCTGTGCTCAAGTCATATTAATCCCAACTCGCACATACTGTGGGGCCTATCAGTGAGAAAATCAAGAATCTATTTGCACAAAGGTCTAATGTAACCTAAAAGATGCCGTTTATCTTCTAAAATGCTGAGGAATGATCGTATGAAATGCCAAACTAAAGTCAACAAACAACATTCGCATATCAATATTTCTTTTCTCTAAGTGTGCCAAGTTCAGATGGAGGATAGAGGACATAATATTCTTTATGAAGCTATTTGGATGGCAAGCAAACTGAACTGGAGGGAGGCTGGATATATTAAACTCCTTCATCAGCCTTTCAAAACATTTCATAATGATGGACGTAAGTGCAACCAGATGCTAATCATGAAAATCAAGTAAATTATTCTTCAGCAATGAATGTAGAGCAAAAGTTCCATCAAGAAAGTTCTGGTTGATTTTTTCACACAAAAAGAAAGTGAGAGATTTTGGAGTTGATTGCTTGGAAGGACAGCACGCTAGATTTTCTATTTTACAAAAACAGCATTTACAGGACTACTCAGAGGAAAAACCTGTTCCAGATAGCCCTACAGCACTCAGTCTTGTTTTCAACACTGTAGGTGAAATGAGGCTGTCTACCTCCCTCAACTCTGATATTTGGCAGGAAGGAGGACAAGTCAGATACACATTATGTGTCCATATCATTTTGCCCCCACTATCAATGAGTCAATTATCTTTTCAAAATCCTTGTTTTACCTGGCCTCAGAAGACCCTGAAAACATCAAGCTGATATTGCAATATTGCAGCTGGGTAACAAGGGCCCTCCCTTCAAAGAAAAGGCAAGGGAGAAAGACCTTAACAGAGAAAGGGCACCTTTCTCAAATGTAATGCTTACACTCCTGATTGTTTTGTCAGGACAGATTAACACAGCTCTCATTCTACAATCTCTATAAGAAAAATAAATAGTGGATCCAACATCTACTAGGCTGTACTTCAGTAGCAAAGTTTACTGACTGTAACACTTAAAATGTACACTCAATTAAATGGCTAGACATATTTAAGCTATCCCCTAGCAAGGAAGCAATGCATTCAAGTCCAATGCAAAGAACATATTTCACAGAATTGGATGATTTTTTATCTCTTGTTCCTGGGCAAAAGCAAAGCAAATTTTATATTGATATGCCCTGATCCAAGTTTGACATATAAAGTAGGAACCTATCCCTGAAAACAGATTAAGACAGAGACCTGAGCCTCCCTTTTTCAACCTTGGATGCCTAAAATAGATTCCCCAAAATAACTTAGGAGATCTTTCATGAGCCAGAGTGAGTCAATGTGAACATGGTGAGGGCCAAATTCAGGCACCCTGAGACTCCAGCACATTCGTTATGGAGAAAACATACAGGAGTCCTCTTTTGGACAGGGGAAAAAGAGGCATCTTTGCCTGTCTTGGCATTCCTAAATCCACCCTACCTCGGTGCAAAACTTTAAGCGCCACAGCTTGCAAAAACGAAACCACCTTTGGAAGAAGCGGGTAGAGAAAGAAGGTCCTTCATGGGACGTTGGGGACCCAAAAGAATAGAGATTGGGGTGCAAGTGGGGCTTTCTCCGCTCTTCCTTCTCCCCAAATTTTCTGCATACCCGCCCCAAGTTTCCCATGGGGAAGAACCCAAAGAAGCGCTCTGCACACGTTAAGGTTTTTCTCCTCCTTTTCTGCACTCCCCTCCCAAGCTTTTCACAGGTATGAAACTCCAAAGAGGCACTCTGCACATGATGAGAGGTCCGCGACGGAATCTCACCAGAGGGCGCGCGGCACGGCTGCTGCTGCTGCTTGCGGTGTCTGTCGCTCTCGTAGAAGCCCAGCGTTTCGGTGCGAGGCGGAGACTGCCTATCGCCGCCGCTGGATAAGCTGCTCTGCCGCGGCTGCCCGCCTTCCGCCTGCAGCAGTAGTGGCAAGGGTTCCGGCGGGGAGCCCCGGCGGGGTCCTGCCCCGCCGCCGCCATCCCCGCCACCCGGGGCCGCCTCGGCCAGGCCCGCCATCTTCGCGCGCACGACGGCGGCGGCTCCCGGCGGTGGAGGGAAGCAGCCGCCACCCCGTAGGACGTCATCTCTGCGCGACACGGAGCGCACCAGCCGGGCCCATCTTTCCCGCGCGCGTGAGCGCCGAGCTACCTGCGCCGCCATCTTAGTTGCGTTTCCCAGCCGACTGTTGCCCTGGTGATGCCCCGCCTCTCGGGAGGTGGAGCCTCAAGTTCCCAAGCAGCGTTTCCTGAACGTAGGAAAGAGGAAGTGGGTTGGAGCAGTCTGGGCCTGTTCGTGGCTTCTCGGTCTCGGCAACTTTAAGACGAGTGGAGCGCAACTCCCAGAATTTTCCTGCATCCTGACTGGGAAATCCTGGGAGTTGAAAGCGACTCGTTTTAAATTTGATAAGACTAAGAAACACTTCATTAACTTGTTCCTTTGGGTTTCATCCAGCCGTTGCGTAATGAAATGGCCCCAGTGCCTTCGCACAGCTTTTCCACGGCCCCTCAGGATCTTCCTGCACTTAACATCTCTTATTCCTACATTGCATTCTGAAGTCTGGAATGCAGTTTTCAGTGCCTAAGTCCACAGGCATTTTAAGAGGTGTGTGTCTTTATTGTAGCCCACATGTAGAAAGATCCTGGGCTCATAGTGGGCGGCACAAAGTCACTTTGGCATAGGCTAATTGAAACGTCAGGACGGAGTTGGGAAAATAAAATGGCCCTCACTGAGATGCCGTTGTACAAATCCGTGGTGTGGTTGTCTTTTGAAGACAGGGCATCCCTGGGTTCAATAGAAGAGATTCTCTGTGGCTCGATTGAATTTTGGAGTTGACTCTTCCTGAATTTGGTGGTTTGCTTGCAGATGGTTCATTACTGAACATTTTCAGTGATGGTGAATGTGGGGTTGCTCCCTACAAACTGCATTGACAGTTTTGAAAGTCCTTTGATTATAGTCGTTTTTGACTTGAACCACCAAAGAGGAAAATGTTGTGGGTTCCATCCCTGAGGGAGATACACCTGGTGGGACCCATAAGAAGGTCCTTCTCTGTGGTGGCTCCCTCTTTCTGGAACATCACTTCCCCAGAGATTAGAATGGCCCCCTTTCTAATACTCTTCCGGGAGGCATTGAAGACCTGGTTCTGCCAGCGGGCCTGGGGAACGCAGAGCAGGATGGAGCCCATCAAATGATTTGTGTGATCTGCTGTCATCGGGGCGGAGGGGGGAATGAAAGTTGGGGGGTGATTTTTTTCCCCCAGATTTTTTTCTATTGTACTTTATTAATTTATTTGATTCTTTTTGTTAGTGTTTATTGTTTTTGTTTTGTTTTAAATATGGTTTACATTCTGTAAACCGCCTCACCGATATGGAAGGGCCGGCTTCTCTATATAAACAGGCAGCAAATCCCACACTGCCTTCCCAAAAGATAATCCAGACAAGAAGCACACTTAGAAGCACTATCGATTTTATTCTACTTTATTACTGTGACAGAATGTCACAAGTCTGAAAATATAGCTCATCCATTCCTTGTCACCTCTCCAGCCCAAGAAACTAAGGATGGTGACTTCTGAGATGTTTGCCACATCCCCATTCTTTCTGCAGGCTCAGCTGCAGTTTACCTAATTATTGCCCTGGCTATGACCCTTCCCCCTATCTCCCAAGGTCATTCCCATTACTATTACTGGAGGGCTGGAGAAAGTGGAAAAGAAGGCAGCTCCTGTATTTGGGGGGTTTAAATGTTGCCATGGGGAGAAAGGGCTTGGATGCCTGGCCTTACTTTGGATAAAAAGAGGGTTGAAAGGTGATATTATTGAGGTGCGAATGGTTATATGTGGTGTGGAGAAAGTGCACAGGAACTGTGCACTCGAGTTTTAGGAAGCAGATCAAAGAAAGCATTTATTTATATTTCTTTTACAATGTAGAATTTGTTATGATATGAACAAAATAACCCTTGAGTAACAAGGATATGCACATAGAAACGTTTATGAGAGTAGTTATGAATAATTATTCAGCCACACACAGATACACTAAATTGAGTTAAAGTTTACTTTAAGAAATAGCACAGTCCAATAAACAGTCCAGGTCATATACGTTTTACAGTCCAAAGAATATCCAATTACAAAGACTTCTTACCGGTTGCCTTTGTCATTTACAGTAAACAAAAATATCGAAGTATAAGCACAGCAGAAATACAACAGAGAACCTTAGATAGCAACAGAATGTCGGAGAGACAGAATGTCAGAGAGAGCAAGCTATGATCTCTAGCTCCCTCTTATGGTAATTTGCAATATAATCAACCAATCGGAATATAGTATAAATCAAGACAGTGATTTTTGTCTTAAAGCTACAAACATACATTGTTGGTTTATATATTGCCAACCCAACTAATTGGTGGACAGATTCCTAACAGAATTAACTGGAGCAACCTCCCATAAATCTCCAGGAATGTACCCAGATCTCTTTTAAAGCCATTCATATTTATCAGTTCTGCTAACTCTCAATATTATATCCATTATAAGTATAAGGACTTGCCTCTCCTATCCCCTCAAGAAAGCAGAACTCTTGAAACAAGCTGCATTTCAAAAAGAACTTTTACTGGGAGATGATGGCAAGGAGAATAGGCAGGATCTGAAATTCCCACTCAAAACCATTAGGTTAAAAGTTGTAGAAACCTCTCCCCATTGTCCAGTCCAAAATGAACCAACCCATAGGTGGGAACTTTGAGCTGTGAAGGCGATAAGCTGTTCTCAGGCTTGCTCATTCCTCTGGAGCTGAGACAAAACAGATGAGCCCAGGCTCATCCCGCACTCCTCCCATTCCCAGGAAGATACATCAAAGTGAAGGAAAGGCCAGGGATTTGGAAAGCTCATAAAAAGTCTGTTTTTTCTGTTTATTTATTGATTAGCCCTCAGGCCATATCAAAGTGCAAAGTTCCAGAAACAAATTGTTACTAAAGTTTGATGAAAACAATTTAAAATGGAATTGGATAAAATACAATTTAAAATGAAATTGGAATAAAATATGATTTAAAATTAAATTGGAATAAAATACAGTCTAAAATGAAATTGGAAAATAATACAATAATTTAAGACATAGATAAAATATGATAAAATAATATTTTGGTGTCACCCCTGTAATCTACCCCATTCAGTCCCACATATGCAGATTTCAACTGACCCATTTTGCTTAAGTATGCTTTGTTAAACGTTATTTTCAGATTCTGGCTGCACATAAGGTAAGTTATTTTGATATGGGGATCCAGGGATGGGATTCTACCAGTTCAGAACGGTTCGAGTGTACCGGATGTTAAAGTTACAGCTGGTTCACCGAACCGGTATTTCAACCAACCGGCTGGCCCCTCCCTTCCCCTCCCTCCCCTCCCAGGAGTCTCCATGTGGCCCATTTTCGATGGAGTTAAGTGTGAAGGCTCTGGGAGGGGGAAATGGGCCTTCTGAAAGTCTGGAAATGGGCCTGTTTCTGGCTTCTGGGGGTCTCCAGAGCCCGGGGGAGGCCTCTGAACCAGTGGTGGGATTCAAAAAAATTTACTACTGTTTCTGTGGGCATGACTTGGTGGGCATAGCAGGGGAAGGATACTGTAAAATCTCTAGTCAGAGGTGGTATTTGCCGGTTCTTGGAACTACTCAAAAATTCCGCTACCAGTTCTCCAGAACTGGTCAGAACCTGTTGAATACCACCTCTGCTCTGGATCCTTGGGAGGGTGAAAAACGGCCTTCCAGGAAAAACTGGAAGTCATAAATCAGACCTACTTCCGGCTCCCAGTGGGCCTCCAGAGGCCAGGGGAGGTTGTTACCACCCTCACAGAGGCCTGTGGGAGGTCTCTGGACCCTTGGGATGGTGAAAACAGCCTCCCACGGGCTCTGGAGGCCTGCCAGAAGCGGGAAACAGGAAGTTCCAGTAGGTCCCACCCACCATAGCCCCGCCCACCCAGCAACCGGACAGCAAACTGGGATTTTTGAATCCCACCCTGGGGGATCCCAATGGGTCACTCATTTGGTATATAGACCAAGTCTCTCACTCTCTTATACAGGCAACAATGTAATAGGATGTGAGCCAGGTCTTCTACCTCTACCGCTCCGCAAATGCAGAGACGTACATTGTGGGTATAGAATGGAATCTCCCATATCTGACCATTATATCAAGCTGTTTGAATCTCACTCACATAAGTATTTCCCTAAGATCTTTTGGCAGTTGTAATTTCAAATAACTGCCTATTTGAAAAGTATGTTTGTGTTTGCTCAGCCATTTTAAGTTACCCACCTTACTAAGGATAGCTATGTCATTTTGTGTTTCTATATCCTTAATTCTTTGGGCAGCTCTTTTTTAAAACTGTTCTCCTGTTACACAAGAGACAGAAAGGCCACAGCTTCTTACAAAATTTGTTAGTTTGGTGACCCAGGAGATTTTGATTGTAATTTTATTTGCTCTAGTAGACATAACTTGGGGAGTCTATCAATCTCCATTTCATTGTCTTTGTGCCAATAGTTATATGCTCTAATTTTGGATAGTGCATGAATTGTATGAATTCCCAATTCAGTTCTTTTTTTTTTTTAAACAAGTTTTATTAATTTTCAAAACACACAAGTCATCATTATCCATTACATATTTAAACCTTTTTCCATTATAAATTTAACAAGTCAGATGAACTATAATTCTGTTTTAGACCATTTCCATATAAACATACAAAAACCTCTTATCCATTTTCTCTTTATTTCTCTTTACTCTTATTCCATTTTATTATTATTATTTCATCTATTTCTTTCTGACTTAGTTACCATTATTCTCATTCTATATTTCTGCAAGGTTTCATTAATTCTCCCAAAAAAAAACCATATATACACAACACACAAAACATAAAAAAAATCTTTTTGGAAAGTAACTTGGACCCAGGTATCTCTTTCTTCATGGACTTCCACTGTATTCATGCTCATATTACATATCATTACTTATTTTATTTACCATTCTAAGTCTTCTATATTAACTTCTCCCCATATTTCACTCTTTTTAATTCTATCTTAATTAATCATCTTAATTTGAGTCATTATA